GGAAAGAGAAGAGAAGTGTATAGAAATTAAAAGTGACTGCTTTTTTTTTATATATATAAAGGAGAATTGAGAAAAAGTATGGAGAGATTGATATGAATTTTACACCAAAAAATACTTCCCCTTTAAAATGAGAGAAAGTATGAGAAAATTAGTGATATAAATATGTATTATCTTAAATTATATCTGAGACGAGCTTATTGAGAGGAGTAGGCTTAGAAGGTATGACCAAGTACCCTCAATGAATAACCAACCTAAGAATTGACATACTTAATGGTTTTAGAAATGGATATATGGTAATTTCATCTAGCCTCTTCGTCATATAAGTTTGAGATTGGTAGACTGTAACGAGCATAAGGCTAAGGAGGGGAACCATCCCTCAAAAGCCGGCCCAAGAGGTTGGAGAACCTCCCGCCTTATAAGGACTCCTTGGTGAGGAGACCTCCCCGATGTGGGACTTGTTACATTATCACCCCCTTCGAAAGCCAGCGTCCTCGATGGCTGCACTCCACGGTACTTCACTCACCGGCACTTCACTCGGCCTTCTTGCCGGTCAGAACCCTCCGATGGTCAGAACCCTCCGTGGGTAGCCCTTCTCGATTTGGCTGGCTCTCAACGAAAGCACCATTGTAACGAGCATAAGGCTAAGGAGGGGAACCATCCCTCAAAAGCCGGCCCAAGAGGTTGGAGAACCTCCCGCCTTATAAGGACTCCTTGGTGAGGAGACCTCCCCGATGTGGGACTTGTTACATAGACAAGTATACCATCCTAAATATAATCTGGTATGGGTTTGTCGAGAAGGGTAGGCTGAGAGGATATAATTGAGTACCCTGAACGTTAAGTCAAGTAGGGATAATCGAGATATGGTGACCAATCACCTCACTAGACATATCTCCAATATAATGAATAACTTGACCTCTAAACAAAGTCAAATAAATTCGATTGAGAATTTTATATATGAAATAAATTTTTATCTTTATTAATCAAGATCTCGCTAATGAATAACTATCTTATCAAATCCCGAAAATCTCGACTCATAAGCCCATTGCAATCAAACATAAAAACCTTAATCCTAGAGCAAAGAAAGGTGATTACATTTTTGAATGCTCTAATTTTAATACATTGCCTAGACAAAAACATTCTTTAGACAAAAAAAAAAATAATATATTTATTTATTTATTTTTAAACAATTTTTATAAAAATAATTAATTTTTACTCTATTGCATAATATTATTATTTTTATTTCTTATGTTTGGTTGTAAAGAAGATAAGAGAGAGAAAAAATAAGAATGAAATGACATAAATATCTTTAGTAAAAAATATATTTTTGTAAAAATATGAATAATTTAATAATTTTATTTATAAAGTATGATTTTTATGTTTTGTTTCCTATTTGAGACGAATTTGAAAATTGTGGGCTTCCATTTATGTTCATAGTTTTCTTTCTTTCCTTTTAAATTATGAAACGGTGGAAATAATAGTTTTCGGTTTTATTTGGTTGGGTTCCGTTTTCTTCTTCTCAGTTTCTCCTTCCCATACCAAACTGACGCTAAATAAGTAAATACATTGGAAAGTCTCTGTAACGACAAATAACATTTAAAAAACGTGTTACGAATTACGATCATGACAGCGCCAGCGCGTCTAACTTTTCAGTAAACGTCAACCCTCAACAACTTCAATATTAAACATTCTTTTTTTATAAACTAATTTCTTTCTTATTAAGTTATATAATTGTAAAACAATATTTGAGTCACCGACTCTTTGATACTTGAAAAGTAAGAAGTTTCAAATAAATCTTTAAAATTTCAATTATTTCATTTTTAAAATTAATTAGTCATTATCATTATAATTTTTAAACATATATTTATCATTAAGTTATATAATTTAAAAAAAAAATAGATTAAACTAAGTAATGGTTTGAGAAAAATTACTTCATAATCATACACGTCACTTCAATTTAATTTGTTAAAAATTATGATATTATCTAAAAAAATATAAATATAATTCTTCTGTATTTAATTTATAAAAATAATTATAAAAAAAGATACATAAGATAAAAAAAAGGACATGACAAACCATTTTTTTTACTCAATAAATTATGGTATAATTTTTTGTTTCACGTGACAAAAAAAATATTAATTAATTATTATCATTATTGTCATTTAATATTACCGTTATCCCCTATTATAAGACCCGCACGTGCATTCTTCACCTTTTTCTTTTTCTCATCATTTTCATTTTCTCTTCACTCTTTATTCTCTTGTGCCAAAATGCTAAGCTCCCTTGTTGTGTTGTTGTGTTGTTGCTGAAAGTGTTGAGTAGAGGTGTGGGTTGCTAGCTGAAAGCACGGATATTCCTCTTCTTCATCTTTCTTTTCCCCAAGCTCAGACCCAGATTCATCGTTCTCCGAGGTAAGGGAAGCTAGTGAGTTTGCTGAATTCGTGTTGAGTGTAGCATGAGACGAGGATTTGGTGCTGTGTTTGGAGAAATATGGATGAATGGTGTAGTGAGAGTTGAAAAGTTGAGTTTTGTGGAAGAGTTGAAAATGGGATGAAATGGTGTTGTTTGATGTTTACATGTGGTACTTCTGATGATTTATGAGTTTCATGTTGTGTTGTGTGCTGAAAATGTATGATTTTGTGTGTTGGATCTTTTGCATTGATGTGCTTACATGAATTGGGTAAGCTTGCATTTCTAGTTTTGGTGAAAATGGTGAAGAACATGGGTATCCTCTGTCTTAAACAGTTTGAAAGGTTTGAGCCCTTTGGGGGTTGCATGACAGGAGAGCATTCCTGGAGGCAAAGGGTTGGTCCATTGGGAACGGCTGAGCGCTTCTTGAAATGGCTGAGCCTTATGGGGGCCATGTGATAGGAAGGATCCCTGGAGGCAAAGCGCTAAGCGCTTTGGGAGGCGTTGAGAGGTTTGGTGCTTTCTGAATTAGACTTTGTTGTCTTCATAAAAGTTGTAGCCTTGGATGTTAACTTTTCAATGATGCTGGAATCACCCAAAAAAGAGGTCTAGAACTCTAGTTATGATCTTTTTAATGAGAAAAGGTCAAGCTGTCAGGATTTAGGCTATTTGTTGCGGTTTTTACATTTTTTAACAAGGTAGACGATGGAATTAGGACTTGATATCTTCATGTGAGTTGTAGGAAATCTTGTTGTCTTTCATATAAGATACGTATGAGCATGACATGAGTAGTATAACTTCATATATGTTATTTTATGTGAAGGATGTCATTTCACAATAAGTGATTTGGTCAAGTTGAAAGATATTTTAGGTGCTTAGGTTGATTTATGTTATTTATTTGTGTAAGTTGGCATGATAGATGAATTTTAAATATATGGGTTGAGTTGTATTATGTGTTGAATATGTAGTATATTGTTGAAGTTGTTTATGAGTTGTGTGTTGATCTATTATATGTCAAAAATATGATATTGTTGAAACATGTTGAAATTAAGTTGTTAAAGTTGTTATATGTTGTGTGTTGACTATTTATTAAGTGTTACACCGCTTAATAACTTTATATTAAATGTGAATTTTAAAAATCCAACCGTTAGATTGAAAATTCATATCTCTTAGATCATATATGTTAAATTTTGTTAAAATTGAACAATAACTTGAAGGTAATCAAAATGTTTATATTTTAGTATATTTTGAAATGTATATATTACGTCAATTTTGTTTTATGAGAATGAAGTATCAAATCATCTTAGATTAATATAAAATTTGATATATATGATCTAAGAGATATAAACTTTCAATCTAATGGTTGAATTTTTAAAATTCATATTTAATATAAAGTTATTAAGCGGTGTAACACTTAGTAAAAGTTACACTGGTGTTGTTTGAACCTCTTCTATATATATATATATATATTCCAGTAGTGTATTGTGTTATTTCGCAGTATAACGACCATAGGGGATCGTTACACCTATCACTATTTTAATTGACAACTATCGTTGTAAGCGATGGATTTATAATTTTTTTTTATAGTAGAAGTAAGGAAATAGTATTTAATATTATCACAAAAGAAAAAATATTGTTTTTTATTTATTTTACAAAATACACAATTTCAAATTTATGTAACTGTGTCATCGACTTGATTTTAATGTGTTTAATAATGAAAATGAGAATAATTAGTAGAATAAACTCTAAGGTGATAAGCTAGTACCATTTTTCTCCTTTCCTAATTCTTATAATTGTTTTACCTTCATTTAAAAAAATGTTACAAGGTAATACACTTTCATGGGGACAATTTATCCTTTTATTAAACATGATTAAATAAAATATAAAATTCTGTGAATGTTAAACATGCATCTGTCACTGTACAAACAACACCTTACTTCTATCAGCATTGTGATTGCTTAATTACCACTCTCATTTCCATTAAAATAATAAAAGTTAATTATGATAATCAATATTAAAAAGTATTCAAATAAATATTCCATATATATTCTTTCTTAGTCTTCCACTATTCCCCTAATGCATGTAGGAAATAAGAAGTTGATGTAGTAATTGAGTATGTTACGAAGAACAACTAACAGACACAAACGATTAAATTAAATGTCAAAATATATAAAAAAAAAATTTAAAATTACATGAAAGAATATAGTGGTTGGGTGGCAAAAATTCAAAAATGGTGGTGCTCCATGTACCTTAGTCAAACACATTATTTACGAACTCGAACAGTGTTCTACACTATAAACAGCGACAGGTGAATTCTAAGTCAAGCATGTGTTTTCTTTCTCTGTGCATTGAATGCAAAACGCGCCTTTGGACTAATGAAAGTCGAGACTGACTTGTAAAGTTCCAGTATTATTCTTATAATTATACAAATAAGTGAAGTCGAGACACATTTGTCTTTATATTTAATAAAATTATTATTTTATAATTAAAAAATTTAAATTTAAATATTAATTTTTATTATTTAAAAATTCAAAGATAAAATTGTAAAAATATTGTGTACACATTCCTATGTTATATATTACAATGGCTTCAATGGGTACAAGATAAGAAAAGTGTTTTTGTGTCCACCACAAATGCATAACCAAGTAATGCTATTGCTCCTTCTACTTCTTCTTCTTCTTCTTCCTTCACTCATGTCTCTCTTCACCAATGCTTCATCTTCCTCATGCCCCATGGATCTCGCCTACGTTGAAACCATTCCCTGGAACTCTTCACTCTGCAGAAACCCAGTAATTAACAACGACTCATGTTGCTCAACACTGCTCAGCGTCTTCGCCATTGCCCTCGCACAGCGCCTCAAAGAAACCTCCATTTTTTACCTTCCAGACGAAGACACTTCCTCCGCTTGCTTATTTGACTTCAAACTCAGGCTTCAAGCCTTGTCAATACCACAAACCATGGTTAGTCTTTGTTTCCCTGACCCAACACGTTTTGTTTACAACTCTTCAGCTTGTGCTGCTATCAAAACCACGCTAGATTGGAGGCAAAAGGTGGGCACGGTTACCTCATTGGACACATCTTGCAATGGTGATCTCAAAAGCAAAACTCGTTGCAGCGTGTGCTCTCATGCTGCCCACAACGTTACTTCCATGCTCAAGAGTATTGACCCAAAGGCTAATGGCAGAAAGTGTTTCTACTACGTAGTGTTGTATGCTGCTGGTGTTGTTAACCCGTTTGGCACAACGGATGTAAGCACCATGTGTTGCATATTAAGCCTGCCTCAACCGTCTAGTGGAGTGGCAAAAGGGTCATCAAGTAAGAGAGGAAAGGTGATGAAGCTTGTTTTTTTGTTTTTGGGTGTTGGTGTTGGTGTTGTGCTTGCTTTTGTAATGATAGTTGTTTATAGGAAGTGGGGTAAGAGGAGGAGGGAGAGTGTTTATCATAGGGAAGTTGAGAACAAGGTTAGGGCTAGTGTTTTGCCTAACACTGGTGCTAGATGGTTTCATGTGTCGGAGCTAGAGCGTGCTACTAGCAAATTCTCGCGGAGGAATGTGATTGGTCAAGGTGGTGATGGGGTTGTGTACAAAGGGACTCTTTTGGATGGCACTGTGGTTGCAGTTAAGGAGATTTTTGATTTGGAAACTAAAGGGGATGAAGATTTCTGCTATGAGGTGGAGATCATAAGCAAAATAAAGCACAGGAATCTTCTTTCTCTTAGGGGGGGTTGTGTTACAAGTGGTAATTTGAAAGGTAAGAGGAGGTTTCTGGTTTATGATTTCATGCCTAATGGAAGCATCAGTGATCAATTGTCACTTGTTGGGGTTAATAGGTTAACATGGCCACAAAGGAAGAATATAATCCTTGATGTGGCTAAGGGGCTTGCTTATTTGCACTATGAAATCAAACCTCCAATTTATCATCGTGATATCAAAGCTACCAACATACTTTTGGATTCCAAAATGAAAGCTAAATTGGCTGATTTTGGGTTGGCCAAACAAGGTAGTGAGGACCAATCTCATCTCACTACAAGGGTTGCTGGCACGTATGGTTATGTTGCACCCGAGTATGCTCTTTATGGTCAACTAACTGAGAAAAGTGATGTGTACAGTTTCGGCATTGTGATTCTTGAAATCATGAGTGGAAGAAAAGTGATTGATGCTTTGAATTCATCGACGGATTCAATCACGGATTGGGTATGGACACTTGTGGAATGTGGAAGGGTGGGGGAGATTTTTGATGAATCAATAAGAGAAGGGCCAGAAAAAGTTATGGAAAGGTTTGTTCATGTTGGAATGCTTTGTGCTCATGCTGTGGTGGCGTTAAGGCCAACTATTGCTGAGGCACTTAAGATGTTAGAGGGTGGCATTGACATTTCCGAATTACCTGAGAGGCCAGTGCCACTTGGTCATGCGTCCTTTCAATCTTCTCTGTTGCATGGTTTGCAGATAAATGGTTGAAGATCAAAGCCATTTGTTTCATCTTATTTAAGTGTGGCCAAAATATGAATACAAGTTTCGTTTGTTTTAGGTAAACTTATACTAGTAAAGTTCAAAAGAAAATGTTATATTCAAAAAATGTTTGTGTATTAAAAGTAGGAAAACTAATTTTAACAGAGGAAACAAATAGACTGTGAATAGAATAATTATCTTCTGAATATGAGATTCTTCATTAAATTTCCCCCGAAGATGATTAAGTACTGGGCTTAAGTATGCTAGAAAGTTCACAGTGTCTCTTTCTTGTTCTTCTTTTACTTGATGTTGAACCTAAGCCCCCTGTGAAAAATAAAAAATAAAATCACGATAGATAAACTGCAATTCCCACTGCTTCAAAAACTGTTAATGTGTTTGCTTCCGCGTCAATAACTTGATTTTTCACGTCAAATCGGAAACAAATAGTTTTTACTTCTGCGTGTCATAATTTGGTACATAAGAGCATTGATAGCCGAGTAGTTTTTTTCAAATTGTCCATTTGCTGATAATCTTCATATTATGCAAAAGCTGAAGCACCTAATAGTCTAATACTCATTTTTACAATCAAATGAAGGAAAGTGATATGAAGATTATTACTATGTTTTCTTTTTCTTTGGATGAGGTTAGAATTCAGACATAGACAGTATGCAGGGTGGTTATATTTGGGTGGAGATTGTACCCTTCTGAAGAATGGGAAATCAAGTCTAACTGCTCAACTTTAGTACAACCTTCAATATTGTTGCTGTTGCTTGGGCGTGAAAATGCTTACCAGTTACCACTAATGCTATGTTCAATTATGAGGGGAAATGATCAATATAGTGGAAGAATGGAAGATAGATGATTAAGTCAAAGTTTAGGTACCAATCACATTATACAAATAAAATACTGGTTTGAATATATGATTAACGGATATAAAATTTTAATAGCCTCGGGTGAATTTTAAGTAAATAATTGTACTTTAATGCTAAAAACACTGATAAAATTTGAGAAAATGTAATGCATCATTTTCAAAGGCTTAAAAAGTTAATATTAGAGATAAAGAACTGACAAATTTCTAACCTGTAAAAATAAAAAAAGAAGTAAGAATACGCACAAAATTATGATAATTAAATATTATTTTAATGTTATTAAAAATTAATCAAAAAAATACTAAGTTAATCTCTCGTATCTCAAAACAAATATTGCGGTTAACTTGGGGAATATTTTAAAGAGTTGTCAATGTGGCCTAATCAACTTTTTCACTTTTTATGTCACTCACAAGCTCTTATATAAATGAAATCACTCTCAGATATGTTCACACTCTGTTTATCTTGTTACGTACTCTGCAAAACACGTAATGACTTGCTAATTCATTCAATGTTGACAGTTGATCAACACTCGTGCTATTGCACGTGTCGCATTGATTTTTACAAATATTTTAAAATTACTTGTGTATATAATTAAGAACATATATCTCACTTTTTCATCTCTTAAGAGAAATATTATACTTTTTAAACATTTTTTTTTAAGATTTACGAAACAACTTTTAGCTTAAAAAAGCTTTTGGACTAAAAAAAATCCATCAAACTTTTATTTATTGTTTTAAGTTCTTATTTTCAATTTAATGGTAACTTTTAAATACCATCATGTAGTTGATTCAGTAGAACCATTAAGTAAAGTCTTCAAATTCAGTACTATGGATGAAAAAAATAAAATTAAGTGAAAAGATTCTTATTAAAAGTATGTAGATACACTGTTATTAGAATTATACCAATCATTGACTCGATCAAGGTACTATATCACTAGGTTATTGGTTGAATTAGTAAGTCTTTAGTTGAATCACACGAATTGATATATTATTAAATATATAATTTATATTGATAATATAGTATAATTTTTTTTTTGTCATTTAATATTTATAAAGACATATTGGTTTAGTGGTTAAGTTTTGTGCTCTTAACTCAAAAGACATGAGTTATACTCAAAAAACATGTTGATTAGGTGATAAGTTTCTAGGTCAATTAATCAAATCGACTAGTCTGCACTGGGTTTGATAGTGTCAAGTTATAAACATACCTAATATGATAGGAGACTTAAATCTTCTCAGATCAATCAGTTGAACCAATTGGTTTGAATTAATTATGATAATATTGTTTGGACAAACCTTCTGACGAAAATTAGTTATTAACAAAATTAATAAATATTTTACAACTTAAATGAGAAATTGTAACCACCGATAAAAGTTCTTTGAATTATTTTTTTATTGTAATTAGAATTATAATTTTATAAATATTTATAACTACAACAATAAATATTATTCAAAATATTAAGAAGCGCTACAATACATAATTTATTTATTTATTGATTGTGATAAGAAAATATAGAGACAGAAAAAACAGACTTGTAATTTGGTATTGTCTCAAGATTCCATACAATTACAAGTAAAAATTGATTAATTTAGTTAGCATCTCATTAGAACTCCATATCATATATCTCTGTTTTTTTATCTTCCATAACAAAGACACCATTACAGTATCATTTCTGCATACTAACACAAACTAAGAAACTAAACCCATATCTATATTGTATATACTTGAATAAGATGAAATAAGTGGCATAGATTATTGTCCACTTCTTTTGTTAGACTTTGAGAATTTTCTTGACTTTTTTGAATATAAAATCTGATGTAATGTACTTGTCTGACAACAATCTGTTTTTAGGTGAAAAGTAGGTGATTTGGAGTATGTTTTTGGTAAATATGCAGTAGGTAAAAGTGGGTAGTATAACTAAGCCAACAATGTATGCATTTTTTGAACAGTAAGCTTGTAATATCAGAAATGGTTGTATTTGTAACTTGCTGATATGAAAAAAAATGTGAGTGAAAAACTGATTGCCCACTAAGAACTTGTCTTGCTCTGTTTTGCTCTCCACTCCTCCTATCATTCTGTTTTCGTTTTTCATTATGGTATCAAGAGCTTCATTGATCTTTTAGGGTCTGTGAGGGAGAAAGAAAAAGAAAATCTGAAAAACAGAGTTTCTGTGTGTGAGAGAAAACCAACAAGAAACCCACTCAAAAAACCTTCAACCAATGGCTTCTAGTAGCAATTCTTTACCACCACCTCCAGTATTTGCTAGAGAAAATTATGATTTGTGGGCTGCAAAGATGAGAACTTATCTTAGAGCTCAAAGTTTGTGGGAAGTCGTGGAAAATGGAAGCAACCCAGCTCCTTTACTAGAAAACCCAACAATGGCTCATGTAAGATTTCACAGTGATGAAGTGGCTAAAGAAGGCAGAGCACTTGCCATCATACAAGCGATTGTTCATGACGATGTTTTTATCAAGATTTTGAATCTTGATACAACAAAAGAGGCTTGGGAAAAACTCAAGGAGGAGTTCCACGGCAGTGAAAGAACAAGGAGGATGAATGTGCTAAATTTGAGAAGAGAATTTGAAGCCATCAAAATGAAGGAAGTTGAAATAGTGAAGGAGTTTGTTGACAGGCTTTCTAAAGTGGTTACATAAATCAAATTATTCGGTGAAGAACTTAGTGATCAAAGAGTTGTGGAGAAAATATTGGTATGTCTTTCGGAGAGATTTGAGTCAAAAATCTCCTCTCTCGAAGAAAATAAGGATTTTTCTCATATATCAATTTCAAAACTTGTAAATGCTTTACAAGCCACTGAACAGAGAAAATATTTAAGGATGGAAGAAAATGTTGAAGGTGCTTTTGTGGTTAATACCAAAGGCAAATTTCAAGGCAGCAGTAGTTGTGGGAAAAAGCCATTTAGTGGGAAGAAAGGAAAAGAAAAAAAAAAAACAAGAAGAAAGCAATAGAGGAGGAGGTTGGAAAGACAAGTATCCACCTTTCTCTTACTATAAGAAAAAGAATCATACAGAAAATTTCTGTTGGTTTAGAGGAGTCAAATGTAGGGCATGCAACCAACTTGGTCATGTGGAGAAAGTGTGCAAAAGCAAAGTAAAGCAACATGGACAACAAGCCCAAGTTGTTGAGCATGAAGAACAAAATAAAGAGCATTTATTTGTTGCTTCTTGTTATTTAGAAAATAGGAGCAAGGAGGTGTGGCTTATAGATAGTGGATGCACAAATCACATGACAAATGATGCAAGTATTTTTCAAGGAATTGGATCAATCTCACTTCTCAAAAGTCACTGTTGGCAATGGAGAAAGTGTTGAAGTTAAAGGCAAATGAGTTATTGCTATAGAAAGGTCTCCAGGTACTAAATATATTTCAGATGTTTTATATGTACCTAAGATAAATCAAAATCTTCTAAGTGTGGGACAAATGCTTGAAAAGAATTATACTTTGCATTTTGAAGACATGAAATGCACCATATTTGATCCTTCTGGGTGTGAGCTAATGTCTATCAAAATGAGAGATAAGAGTTTTCCAATAGAATGGAAGCAACTTGCTATGCATGCTTTTCCAAGTTCAGTAGATGATTCTGTTTTATGGCACAAAAGACTTGGTCATTTTAGTTACTCCACCTTGAAGCAAATAAGCTCAAATGGCTTAATTCAAAACTTACCTTCCATAGAAGATGATGTTGATGTTTGTGATGTATGTCAATTTGGAAAGCAATGTAGATTTCCATTCCCTGCAGTAGCAAGCTGGAGAGCTATGGAAAAATTACAGCTTATCCATACTGATGTGTGTGGTCCAATGAGCATAGCATTTTTAAATGGCAGACAATATTTTTTGATATTTATAGATGATTTTACAAGAAAGAGTTGGGTGTTTTTTCTAAAACAAAAATTAGATGTGTTTGCTGCATTTCAGAAGTTTAAATTTTTGGTTGAGAATGAAGCTGGTTGTCAAATTAAAAAACTCAGATCTAACAATGGAACTAAGTATACAACAAGGGAATTTAAAAAGTTTTGTGATCAAGCTAGAATACAACATCAGTTCATCGTTCCTTACACTTCTCAACAAAATGGAGTGAGTGAAAGAAAGAACAGAATAGTGATGGAGATGGCTCGGTGTTTGCTCTTTGAGAAAGGTCTTCCAAAGACTTTTTGGACTGAGACGGTAAATACCTCAGTTTACTTGCTGAATTTATTGCCTACCAAAGCATTGAAGGGTAAAACACCTTATGAAGCATGGTGTGGAAGTAAGCCTTTAGTGGAGCATTTAAAAAATATTTGGTTGTGTGTGTTACACTCATGTTCCAAATGTGAAAAGAGATAAACTTGATTATAAGTGTGAAGTTGGTATTTTTTTGGGATACAATATCAATTCCAAAGGATACCGAGTATACAACTTGGAGACAAAAAAGATGATGGAAAGAAAAAGGAAGAATGAAGAAGAAGGGAGCACCAAAGCAAGGAGAGTAATGGATTACTCA